AGGACGCTCGCTGAAAGGAGGAGGGGAGAAGCTGGGGAGAATGGAGGCCAAGGGGAGAAAGGCAGCGAGAAGCTGCGGTAGAAGAGATGAGTGGAGAGAAGCTGGTGGAGAAGGAGGAGGGGAGAAGGGAGAGGTGGTGTGGAGGAGAGAAGGGGGAGAAGCTGGTGGAGAAGGAGGAAGGGGGAGAAGGGAGAAGGGGCGGAGAAGATGAGGGGGGAGAAGCTGGGTTGCGAGAAGGAGGAACGGGAGAAAGGAGAGTGGTGAGAAGGAGGAGGGAGAGTGGTGGGAGAAAGAGGAGGGGAGAGAAAGGGAGAGAGGTGGCCGAGAAGGAGGGGGGAGAGGCTGGTGCGAGAAGCGAGGGTAGGGGAGAAGGAGAAGTAAGGAGGAGGGGGAGAATGCTGGTGGGAGAACGAGAGGAGGGGAGAAGTGGTGCAGAAGAGGAGGGGGAGGAAGGCAGCTGTGACGAGAAGGAGGAGGGGGGGAGAAGAGAAGGTGGCTGGAGGAGGAAGGGCGGAGAAAACGTGGTTGGAAGGACACGGAAGGCGGAGAAGGGAAAAGGTGGTGGAGAAGGCGAGGCGAGGGAGAAGCTGGTGGAGAAGCGGAGAGGGGGAGAAATGGGAGAAGCTGGTGGAGAAGGAGGGAGGGGGAGAGAGCTGGTGGAGAAGGACGGGGGGAGACGCTGGTGGTGAGAAGGAGCGAGGGGAAGAAGCTGCGATGAGAGAAGAGGTTAAGGGGAGAACAGGAGAACGCTGGTGAAGAAGGATGAGGGTGAGAAGCTGTGAGAAAAGAGGAAGGGAAGAAGGAGAACGCGCTGGATGGAGAAGAGGAAGGCGAGAAGCTGCGTGGAGAAGGAGGAAGGGGAGAAGGGAGACGGTGGCGGCGGAGCAAGGATGAGGGCGGGAGAAGCTGGTGGAGAAAGCGGGAAGGGGGGGAGAAAGGACGAAGCTGGTGTGAAGAAGGAGGAGGCGCAGAGCTGGTGGAAAAAGAGGAGGGAAGAAGGCGGAGGGAGGTGGCGGAGAAGGAGGAGGGGAGAAGACTCGGTGAGAAAGGAGCGAAGGGGATGAAAGGGAGAAGGTGAGCGGAGAAGGAGGGGGAGAAGCTGGTGGAGAAGGAGAAGGGGAGAGGCGGGGAGGAGGAAGGAGGAGGGGCGAGAAGCTGGTGGGAAGGAGGACGGGGGAGAAGGCTGTGGAGAAGCGAGGAAGGGGAAGAAGGGAGAAGCTGACGTGAGAGAAGGAGGAGGAGCAGAAGCTGGTGGGAAGGAGGAAGGGGAGAAGCGGAGGCGTGCGGAGAAGGAGGGGGAAGAGCTGGTGGAGAAGGAGGGATAGGGGGAGACAGAGGAGAACGGAGGAGAACGGAGGCAGGAGAAGCTGGTGGGAAGGAGGCAGGGGAGAAGCTGGTGGAGAGGAGGAGGGGGAGAAGGGACGAAGCTGGGTGTGAGAAGGGGGAGGGGGCGAGAAGGGAGAGGGCTGGTGGAGAAGGAGGAGGGGGAGAAGAGAGAAGGAGAGGGGGAGAGCGGTGGTGAGAGAGCGAGGAGGGGAAGGGAGAAGCTGTGGGAAGGAGGAGGGGAGAGCTCCGGGGAGAAGGAGAAGGCAGAGAAAAGCGAGAATCTGGTGGCAAAGCGAGGAGGGCGAGAAGCGGGGTGGAGAGGAGAGCAGGCGGAAGAAGCTGGTGGAGAAGGAGGAGGGGGAGAAGGAAAACGCTGGGTGGAGAAGGAGGAGGGGCGAGAGCTGCGGGAGAAGAGGAAGGGGAGAGGGAGAAGAAGGAGGGGGAGAAGCCTGGTGGAGAAGGAGAGGGGGAGAAGCTGGTGGAGAAGAGGAAGGGGAGAAGGGAGGAGAGGGGAGAAGCTGTGGCAGAAGGGAGGGAGGGGGAGAAGGAGAAGCTGGTGGAGAGAAGGAGGAGGCGGGAGAAGCTGTGGGAAGGAGGAGGGCAGAGAAGGAGAAGCTGCGTGGAGAAGGAGGGGGGGAGAACTGGTGGAGAATGAGGAAGGGGAGAAGGGAGAAGCATGGTGGAGGAGAAAGGGCGGAGGAGTGGCGCACCAGCTGTCTCCCCCTCCTCCTTCTCCACAACTTATATCCCTCCTCCTCCACCACTTTCTCCCTTCTCCCCTCTGCATCTCCAGCCAGCTTCTCCATCTCCTCCTTCTCCACAACTTTCTCCTTTCTCCCCTTCCTCATTCTGCCACCAGCTTCTCCCCAGTCATCCTTCCCACCAGCTTCTCCTTCTCCACTCCTCCTTCTCACCAGCTTCTCCCCTCCTTCCTTCTCACCAGCTTCTCCTTGCTTCCCGTTCCTGCTTCTCCACCCACCTTCTCGCCTTCCTCCTTGTCACCAGCTCTCTCCACTCCTCCTTCTCACCAGACTTTCCCTTTCTCCCTCCTCCTCCACCAGCTCCCTCTCCCACTCTTCTCCGCCGTCCTCCTGCTCTCCACAGCTCTCTCCCCTCGCTCCTTCTCCACCAGGCATTCTCCCCTCCTTGTTCGTTCTTCTGCGCCAGAACTGTATTGCAGGTCCGCACGGGAAACTAGCATAACGCAATAGCATATCAGGAGCTGAAATGCGCTCGGCAAGCCGTAAAACTAGATTTTAAGCTCTTAAAAGCCACGGGTTTAAGGTCCTTAAAACCAGGTTTGAAGCTCTTAAAAACCCCGGTTTTAAGTCTAATTAAAAGACTAGGCTTTTAAGGCTTAAATCCGGTTTTAAGCTCTTTAAAACCCGCGGTTTTAAGGCTCTAAACACCCAAGTTTTACGCTCTAAAATAGGTATAACGAGCTTAATCCGGGCTTTTTACGACCTTCAAAACTATTTAGACCTTTAAAAACCTAGTTTATAGACCTTCAAAACCTAGTTTGTAGACCTTAAAACCGGGCGATTTTTGAGATTAGTTTGTTAATCGAGAGGTTGTTTGATTTTAAAGAGCTTAAAACTTAGGTTTTTTTTTACGGCTTTTGGGGTAAAAGCTTTCCATTGCGAGCTTAAAACCCTAGTGTAAGGCTCTTTAAAACCTAGTTTTAGCCAGTACAAACCGGGTATTAGACCTTAAACCAGGTTTTAAGGTTCTTAAACCTTGTTTTAGGTCTAAACTAAGGTTTAAGAGTCGTAAAACCCGGATTAGGTCTTAATAGACTAGCTTTTAGGGCGTGGACGTAATTCTAGTTTTTAGCCTTAAACATGGTTAGTCTAATACCCGCCGTTTTATGGCTTGAAAACTAGGTTTTAAGAGCTTAAAACTAGGTTTTAGACCTTAAACTAGGTTTAGGACCTTAAACCGGTTTTAAGCTCGTTAAAACCCGGTTTTAAGGTCTAAACTATGGTTTTATGCTTGATTTGGTACAAAAATGTTTCCATACACGTCGGTGCTGTTGTATTAAGCGCCCTGTGTGCCTTGGGCTGTGTGCCCTGCGGATTATGAGGATATTTTTGCCATAATCAGGCTTCTGATAAAAGAAGCACATGGCTTGAAACGTGGTTCGGGGTGAAGCGTGTTGGGACACGATTTCGCACTGTACGTTAGCAGCATAAAACAAACGCAAGAGTGATATTAATTGCCAGCGTATCAGAATGTTCACTGTCAAATGTGTTGGGTTCTGACTTATATTTGGTCGAACTTTATCGTACTTGTTTTCTACGCTTCCTATGTGCTTCTCTGATTGTATTTTGATTATTGTTATGTGTATTGATTGTGGTGTGGTTTAATCGGACAGAAAGACGTTTCTCATGTTGGACGTTGAGTAGGGGAGGATTATCAGGTAGTATTTTTTTTGAATTGGTTAGGTTTCAGGTTCTAAGTATTGAGCAGCCGAGGACGCCTGAAGCGATTGACTACCTTAGTTCATCGTTTTGGGGCAAAGGGGAGATGATGTAAACGTCTAGTTTTATACGTTACCATGAATTATGTCAGATGGAGCTAGACGGGTAGTTGTTTTAAGCCATTAATTCCAGCTAGACAGCTTCGCTCGACCAGCATGGGCGGTGCGATTGATGTATTGGGAGAATGGCAGGACGTGGTTGGGTTGGACCCGTTTCGAGAGTCCGGTGTGAGTGTTGTGGGGTAGGATCGTAGTCTCTGCGAACGCGGTACATGTGCGCTCAGGGATGTAGGGAGTTTTGGGGGGATATATAGAGAGAGAGATGTAAGAGGGGGGAGATTTGGATTCGGGTGCTGGGGAGCGAGCCTGGAGCACACCGCGCGTATGAGCGGTGGTGCGCGTTCTTTGTCCTTTGCTGCGAGGTGACGACCACAGGTATGAGATTAAAGATTGTACAGTTTTAACCACACAAAGTGGGATCTGTTCTACTTCATTCCGCTCGAATCAACGCTGGGTCATTCCAACGTTACAGTATCACTCACTTGACCTTCTCACACTTCTCTCTCTCTTTTTCTCACCTCCCACTCATCCCTTCCTCACTCTCTTCTCTTCTCACTCTACGTTGCTTTCTCCTGCTTACAATCAAACCCTCTCCAAGAAAGCAGGAACAAATATAGTTTGTCACACAGATTGATACAGATCATCAAGTAAGACTAAGTGCAGGTGAGAGACACACCTTGGATATAAAAATTCCTGGCTCTTTGAGAAATAGATACAGGCAAGTACAGGTGTGCACACGTATAGGGTTCATAGTAGTAAACACATCAGTTGATAAGGACTTATAAGACCCTTTCTGAGGCCCAAAATAAGACTTTTTACGCGTTTCTGATAGATCACGGACTATCTAAAGCCTAACACTTAATAATATTTATTACACAATTGCACAGACCAATTTAATTATTTCCGATATTATACTATACAACAATAATATAAAAAAATATGCGACGATTAAGTACTTTTCTAAGATTTCACCAGAAAAATAAGTACGAATAGGGACCTTATTTGTTAGCCCTTATTTTATTTTTGGCAAAATAAGTACTTATAAGACTTTGGAAGGCCCGCTACGAACCCTGACGTAATTACAGGTAGATACAGGTAATTAGAGGTGATATAAGTACAGGTGATATACAGCTACCTTGGATATGAAGATGCCGGGCTCTTCGAGGCCGAACGGATGGCTGCTGTGATCAACTCCCCCGACGATACTGAAGCCCAGCGGTCCGCCTGCCTTCTGTAGAATGATCTCCTGCAGCATCCACAACGATAAGGGCCTTTGTATATGTGACATACCACACGTATATATATGCGAAGGCTTTGTTATTATTATTATTTATTTTTATTTTTTTTTGTTACTCATTAGAGGCTTAACCTCACAAGTCCGGGGAATCCGATCACCCGTAGTGGTCGCGAATCCACCGTTTGAATCGCAAACGTTCTCGCCGTTCGTTCGTTTGGTTTCAATATAGGTAGCTTGTTTTATGTCAAAGGTATACCATTCCACTTGATAACGTGTACCGTACAACTTTAGTACTCGATCCAGGGTGTAGGTAGCCCGTTTCATGGAGCAACCAGAATCTGGTAGGGCTGGACCTAGTTGTAGCCTTATCGTACACGAACAACCTCAGTGGTTCTTTTACGTCCCCATTGGCCTTAGTATTACTGGAGACGGGACCGCCATTTTACGTGATCATCCGAGCCACGGGAGATTGGCAGTCTCCAATATTGAGAGCCAGGTTTTCACACCTTGAGAAAATTCTCTGCCCCGGCCAGGGTTTGTTATTATTACTGTATATAGTATATAGTATACATGTGTTTCAGGAGAAAAATTCCTCTCTTTTTTCACGGGAGCTCTTTTTCAAAAGTCTGTGGGAAAAATAGCTCTCGTCAAAAATAATTTTACGGGAGCTACTTTGAGCTTCACGGGAGCGATTTCAGAGGTTTGAAGAGCTCCCGTGTATTTTTTACCCTGATGTGGATGTATATGTAAATGTGTGTGTATAGTAATAATAATGACTACTGTGACACTGACCGAACCGAACGTTGGAGGGGCGGCGAGGACGACCTTGACCTTGACCTTACCTCGACCTTGTAGTAGTCCTGAGGGTCGAGGTGATTCATGAGCGACGATCGCGACGCCACCGGCGCGGAACGCGGCGCCCCCACGCCCGCCCGCGCGACCGGGTACGCC